CCAAAAACTACTAAATGTTGAGGTGGCTACATATAAAATATAAAAAAACGAACAAACTATAAAATCCTATTGCTATTCAATAAATTGAACAAAGACAATATGACCACATGTGTTGTAAACGCGTGGATTTTGTTTCTCCCTACTGGTCGATTTTCCGTTCCTTGTAATTTTCAACTGGAGAATGATAAAAAAGTGCTATACAAGAGAAAAAAAAACTAATATCAAATGACTTTATTCGAGTTTATGCACGAAGATGGTTTAGTCTGATGAAAAATCTAGAACTTTCATTCCATCACACTTTCAATATGAGCGCGTGTTGAAACAAAGATGAGGAAAAACACAAGTGCTATTTTTTGCATGAAAGAAAGCAGTTGCATAACAATGCGACGTCATTGATAGAACGGGTAAAGCGACACACACATGAATACGTACATAAAAATGCAATGCAAGCATACGTAACAGCCTGTGCGCGTCCGCCTGTGTGTCCCGCTCACACAATAGAAGAAGAACGAGAATAAAAGACAACGAGAGTGTCAGAGTGAGAGAGAGAGATAGAGCGTATGTGCTAAAAATCAAATAAATTTTATCGCATTCAGCTGCTTAATATTGTCAACATTGAATGTTATTTATGGCATGCTTTCGGGATAATAACACTACCAATATTTGTATTTATCGGGCGAAACGAAAAAGTCACAAAGGTTATGGTCTAATTTGAAATTGACGTCGCAATTGCAGCAGCAACAGCACCAGCCAACTGAACAGTGACCACAGTCTACGTAAATTGGATAACGAAACGTATTAATGTGATATTTTTTGCTCACTTTTCTTGCTCTACGATTTTTCACTGACCATGTGAACGAAATGGTACTTCTCAATTGCAATCCTCGATTGTGCACATTTTCGAGGAAACAAAAAACGATATAGTCTAGTATAGCAAGAGAGAGAGAGGGTGAGAAAGAGAGCTTTAGCAATAAATAAACCATAAAAATAAATCCAATTTCAATGGATCTATTGCAATTTATCTCACTTCACATCCAGCGATGACATTTCCACTCTCGCCATTTTGCCCAAGTATGTTGGACCAATGCATTTCTAATTTCTGAGGTAGTTACTAGCTGACTCCATTTTATCTTCAAAACTGCATGCCACTGGCGATTTTACAAAGGATTTGGCATTCTCATTGGCATTGAGCGAATATAATCACAAATATTTCGAAGGTTGGAAGGTATGTTAGAGTGCAGAACAAAAAAAACGCATGTAAAATGTCACCCACTGGAAAATGTAATCGAGTTTCCTTGATTTATAGTTTTATTGGGTGCACAAAGATTATACGATTTTTGTTTGGTTCCAATCGCATTCGCAAAACATTTGCTGAGAAATCAGCATGAAATTTATGAATTCGTTCAAATGCAGAAAATAAAGAAAGAGAAAAAAAACCCGAGACACTATTAACAATGATTGCATCTGCAAGTGACGCCAAGGTATGACAATTTATTGATTCATTTCTATGGAAATTGAAAATTTACATTTCACTTCGTTTTTCGGCATCATTGTCATCAAATTACATTGCCTTAATGTCAAAACATTGGCTCATGTTTTTGACAGCGCTACCATTATGTATGTATATGTGTCGTTTATGTTACCATTATTGTCCACTCAATAAAAATATATATTGACCATAGCGGCGTCAAAAATGTGACAGAAACAGACACGGCTCAGGGTTTATTAGCTGTTAAAACAATGAACAACCGAAATTGATACAAATATTTCAATCAAAAACAAAATATTTTATTCGGCATGGTACGTACACCGACACTGCCTGTCGTCGTATAATAAAATTGCTGTAACTTAATCTGTGTCATTTCAAATGGATTTTGGCTCCGTTCGATTTAATCTATAAATAGTTTTGTGTGTTAATTAAGCTTAGGTTACATTGTGTTACAAAGATCTAACATTGAGTCTAGACGTGAGTTCAATCCCTTATTTTTCCTTTCACGTTTGGAAATGAAGAGAAACAGAATCTTCAACGCAGTACTTGTTGTTTTTCGTTAGTGGTTGTTTTGAAGCGTATTAAATTGACTAGAGCATTGAATTTTCTAGAGGTAATGTGATGAAATTAAAGCAAAAAAATTATTGCCAACATTTTTTCTCGCCTTGTACTTCTATTGTGCACGTACGTGTCTTTTTTTCTATTACACCAATGCTCGGCATCCAACTCTCAATGCAAACGAAACGAAATAAAATCCAAAATGTATTGTTGCGCATTGTATACCTTAAACAGGTAACAAGAAAGCGATTTTCACAATACACACACATAATATATATATATTTCGATGGTCTTGAACACGAATTCAATCAAGGACACAGATCGCTTAACTATAGCAAAACGTTCGCTAGTTCGTTGCGCTACATGTTGCACACAGTTCTGCACTGTGACCGTACAGTTTGAATTATGTTTTCACGAAGTCCGAATTGTGGTTTTGTTGTTATTTTAGTTGTTCCCCGTTCAGTTAAATGCGTGATCAAAACTCACGAGAACAACAATGGAAATAATGACAAACTGAGCTAAATAAAAAACATTATTTTGGCTGTCAAACTTTTGCGTGAATTTTTTCGCTCTCTTTGAAAAAAATTGAATTACGAAAGATGTTTGTTGTCATTAATTTTACATTATGTCGGACCGTTTTTTGCATTCCCAATGTTAATCTTTTATTTTGCATAAAACCATTCGCAGCAACGATGATTATTATTTCTTCATTTGGCTCGCTCACACAATGTTGGGCATAATTGACATTTAAAAAATGATCATAACATAACAGCAATTATTTTTAAAATGGTTGGAGTCTTGATTGGAATTCAACCAGTTCTTTCCATTGATTGTGTCATATTGATTTACAAAATATGTTTATCGAATTTCTAATTGAAATCGAGACGATACAAATAAGTTTTGAGATGGTATTTTCAATAAGAAATGTTGCATTCCTGTTCTTTTGCGGGGAATCCAAATAATTATATTATTCGAAATTGAATCAGTAACCAAATCAAAAAGAATACTAAATACGATCGAATTTCATTTGATTTCTCGTTATTTGCAATAAACTCGGGCCTAATATCAAGAATCCGGGCTGATTAAATGTGGTATTTTTGTTCACGTAATAGAATACCGTTGAATAAACGGTAAATATATGTTCTTAAAATGAACAATTAATACCATTCAGTTCAAGCAAGGTAATTTTCAAAGTAAACAAACCTGAACCAAAAACGTGAAATGCGATTGAAGTTTTGTTCATTTCAATTATTATTGATGTTCTTTTGCTTTATCGCTTTTGATGAATAAACATTGTATCTGTTTTTTTTTTTTTTCGTTTCTGTTTTTTTTTGTACAAAATTATTTCGAAGCAAAAATAACAACAACTAAATAATAAATCGTGGTCTTTTTCCGGTTGGTAAAGTCATCAGTTATTAAATGTGACGTTAAGCACGTGTTTTTTTCACTCTTTTCTCTCTCTCTTTTCGCACGAAGAGTAACCGATAACCATTTATTTGAACGTGAATTGAGGTTTAAGGCCCGTAAAAGTAAATAAACTTAATTATTTGTCAATTATCACTTGGTTTTGCATTTTACTTTGTTTCCGAACCAAATGGAACCTCTGTATATGTCTCACTCTCTTCCTAGTGCATGAAATTATTTTGAATGACGGCAAAGTTTTTTTTAACGCGAGCCCTGAGAGAATAATTTGAAAAAGCGCGTTGATAAATTCATGGAAATTGTTATTTATAATAAACAAAGAAAAAAAAGAGACAAAGTATATTCATGCTTTTTTGGGGTGTGCGCGCAAGGCACATTTGTACGCTTCAATGCGTTATTGCTCGTGTCACCGACTGTGAGAGACACAGTGAATTCAGTGTGGTCATCGGCAGTGCATTGACATCGCTTACGTTATTTGGCTGGAGTTCGAATTCACTTTATTGTATAAAATTAGTCATATTCCTATATTGGCGAATGAACGAACGAACGGACGAGCAAGCGTTATTGTTGGTTTCCTTTGTGCAACATTATTAAATAATTTTACCGTTGTCACAGTGCCGAACATTGACTCCCGATATAATTAACAATAAAGGGGTACCAAAACCAATTCCACTTTGAATATTATCAAAGGAATTTCACACCAAGAAAACACACACACTATGCTCTGATTCAATGGAGCTGATGGAAATTATTTTACCATTTTGCTATGTGTTTTTGGTTTGTTTTATATCGTTTTTTTTTAATTGAATCTTGCTAATATATTTCTACGTCTGATATGGCTGGTGCTTGGCTTTTCATCAATTTCGAGAATTGTTGAATCTATTAATTAATTGCAAAATTCAGAAACAATGTTGCCACATTTCACGTGTTCTTGCACAAATTCAATTTCAGGCTTCTTGCGAACGGAACAATTTTTCTATGCTCAGTTTTACAATTGAATTTTTTTTGTTAATTCAAAGCGCATGACGCTCATGAAGTACGGTTGCTGTTTATGCAAATTAATGTGAATTTTAAATGCCTGAGACATAGAAAAAATGTATGCGTGTGTATGTGATTTGAAGAGAGCGACAATTTTAGTCTAAAACTGAATTTGCATGACAGTCTATTTATGAATGCGACAAGATCAGCGAATGTCATCGCTTCATTTATTTAAAATTGAAACGTAAATGGCCCATTGAGACAAACCGCACGAACCACCTTTTTCTGTTTCATTTAAAAATGAAAATTAGGAAAATGAATTATGGACAGTGAAAAATGCCAAATTTATCTACCTCACAAAAAACCGTTTCGTTCATTTACTTGGAAAACAAGTGAAAACAAAAAAAAAGAGAAATATTGTAACATTTGCGTGGGATTAATTTAATTCGATAAATTCGTTCATATAAACGACCAAAATTGGTCAAAACATGGATTCAAATAGGAAATAATAATATGGTTTGAATTAAAAAAAAAATGATGATGATAAACTTACCCTGCATTTTCAGTAGCGGTAATGGACATGTGATGCTCATCAGCAAGCCGCAGGGATGAGCCACCCTGTATTAAAGCTGGCGGAGCCGATTGTTGCTCCGTGGTCGCTGATACTCCAGCCACCTACAAAATAAAAGCAAACAAAGAAAAAATTCAATTAATTTGGAACATTTTTGGACACAACAAAAATAAGAAATACAAGAAAAAACAACAAGTCTATGGACATTCATCACAAGTGAATACATATTTAGAGAGATGAAAAGACGGTAAAGGTGACAAAAATATGTTTTAATAAATATATCAATCATGAACCGTTGAATAAAGTAAGCAAATGCAAAGAGATAAATCGTGTCCCCACAGACAATATTCGACAAATGAACAAAGAGGCATCGTTCTTCGTTTTCTTCGTATTTTAGGCTATTTTTCTTTTGTTATTATGTTGCTAATATATTTCATAGTATATTTAAAAATGAGCTGTTTATTTTGAGTGGATCGTTCATCACGTCCGTCTCTATTTTCATGTGATCAAAGGAGAGAATGCCTTTTTAAGCCAACTTTGTTTGCTTAACGTACCATCAATAGCACAACAAAGAGAATTTTCGAAACGAATTGCCATTTTATTGGTACAATTTTGACAAGATACACAGAGATAGATAGAAGGAGTATCTGTGTTCAGAATTGACGGTAAATAACCAAAACAGAATTAAATTTTTCTCTCTCTTGGGTAGAAATAATCTGTCGTCTTTTTCAACCCTAAGTAAAAGGCGATTGGGTTTCTTTTTTTTCACCATTAAGGACGTACATATTTTATTGTCATCTTTTCGACCGACGCCCATTGTTCCATTCCGTCATTGTTATTCAAAACAATTTTTGATCACTTAAAAGTTTTTCATCATGATTTTTTATGGTCGGATTTTCTATATTGTTAAAGAATTTTATCGAAAAATGCGATTTTCAATGCAGATAAAAAAGAAACCCCGACCAAACAACGAAACGACAATATTTTCGGCTTATTTATAAAAACCAAGAAAATACATTTTTTCGAATGGCATCAATTGTGGTGTGCACATCAGTGACAAAAGAGTGCTTGAATACACCTCAACCGATTATTACACATAGTCATATGCAAATTCGTCCTTTTTCTCTTTCATTCTGTATTTGTCTTGTTATTTCATTTTTCGTCGTCTTACACGGGGATGCTTTGATGTTTTCTCTATTGAAAAATGTAATGATTTTAGTTGTGCGTAAATAGAACCGAACACTGCCCACACTATAGAAGCACAAAATGCGTCATACAATAACATATTTCTATTCAATAAATTGAATTCGTGAAGGTGTGTAGCGAACAATTTGTTACACACTAAATGTGTAAAATACACAACAAAATGCCAAACAATAAATACAAAAATATCAGCACCGCCAATAACAATAAAACGATCTTAAAAATGTTGTTTTTCTTCACTTGAAAAAGTTATTATTGTTTAGTCGATTGTTTATATTTCATATATAAAAGGAAAACAGATGCAACAAAACCATTTCAAGTTTTATTCTCTTTCGGTTTTATACCTTGACAAACTAAAACAAGAACAGAGCAACAATGAAAAAAAAAAAAAAATCGTTTCTCAGTGTGTAAAGTTTTGCTGTGCGTTTCTGTGAATTCGACAGCAAGATATATAACGAGAATGACTTTAGAACGTGATTGATTTCAGTTAAGTGTTGGTCGACTGTAAAACAGTAGCACATCGAATGCGTTGTTTGTTGCTGTAAAATTCATGAATTGACGAAGAAAAAAAACAACAACAACAACAACGCGCAGCATAGCACAATGGCAAAAGTTATTTGTAACACATTTTTTTGTATTCATTCAAGGCACAAACACTTGATTCATGAACGGAAACCATTTGCTACCGATAATAGAAGAGTATGAAAGAGAGAGAGAAAAAACCAACCTCTATGCGATCAAAAGGCAAGACAAAATTCATTTGAAATATAAAGACTTTTGCTTCACGGTGTTCGTGTGTGTGTGTGTGCGCGGTTGTTTTTTCTTATTCATTTACACGAGAGTTTTTTTGATTGATTTGCTCGTTTGAGAATGGGTTTTTTTCCACGCCAATGTATTAGTTTCGAGAAACCTTCGTCATTCAAAATGGCCGTGGCAAACATTGGCAAAAAGAATGCTCTTTCTTGGAGGCTGAGGTTTTTTCCTCTTCCTTCGTCAAAAATATTGTGTTTCAACGTATTTGATTCAGCTGATTTATGCTCTGAAAGTTTATTTTCTCTCTGTGCCTTTGCAACAGGTGCAATATGTATCACATTCAAAAGTCCATTTCCAAGAATTAAACTCAATAAATTGAGATAATTTGAAAAGTTTGAATATCAAATACTGAATTATAGAAAAAAATTGAAAGAAAAATCGACATTTCCTCCGATGGAGTATTAACATTTTTAGATCCGTTTTTAATTGAATCTACCGAGAATTTCACGATAAATATAAAACTATGCGTAGCTTAGAGCAAAATTCCCTAACCCACTCAATAGAATTAAGTTCGTATAGAAACCTACTTATAAACTTTCCGTCTAATTTTATTGTTATTGTTATTGCGTTTACATGTTATTGCTAATCTCCATTATTATTACTCTCGTTTAATATTAATATCGGCTATTTGGTGAGTGTGTTGTGCGTGCTCATTCGTTCGCTCGCTTACCATTATTTTGCATTTGTTTTACATTGTATGCGATAAGTAAGAGTTAGCTAGAAGGTAAGTAATGTAGTCATTTTCATTGGTTGTTTGTTTGAGATTCCAATAGATAATCTCATTATGTAATGATAGTCTGTGTGTCCGCTTTTGGAAAATGGACGATAAAGACTTAAATAATATCTATTCCAATGTGTATGTGTGTGTGGACTTTCAATATTCTATGTTTAATGTGGCATAAGATCACAATAACAACACATTTGTGGTCGAAGAAAATGCGCGCATTTATTTCAATGCACTCGAATGAACGCATTCTCAGCAAATATGTGAATGTCGCCTTATGCCGGCATTGCATGAGCTAAACTATGGCGATCTCGATATACATATACATAAACAACAATTTGCCGCGTAGCGTAAAGTGGCTATAGAACCAGAAATCATGTGTAATATTCTAAAACTTTTAATGCAAGTAATGATCCGTTAGTTGATTGAAATAACGACCGGATTTTAATCGAATTGTCAAGATAGAATAAGACACAAGGGAACGAGAGAACCACCGTGCAATCTCAAATGATACAATCGAAAAACGTTTGAATTGCACATAAATATTGCATTTATTCACAATAAATTGGTCATAAATTGGCAGTTTTCATTGGATTTACTGCATAATTTAGTGAATATGTGTGTTTTGTGTTATGCAGTTTCTTCAAGTGTTACATCTCTTGAAATCATTACGCTGTGGTATAATCGCAATCGATTTTATCCTTTTCGATTGTCGGCGTTGATTTTTTTTCCTCCTCTATTCTCCATCACCACTTGGGCTCTTTTATACATATAAATCGTGAAGTTTAAAAATACAAACGTAAGTCACCGTATGTCGAACATATAAAACGTTCAAAAGACAATATCATTAATTTGTTATTACTTTGCTTATTTTCAGCATAGTCACTTTTTGGTTGGCGTTTTGCTTTGCTGCAACCACACAACTTTTGATTTCGTCCAAATAGAGTTTTAGACACACCAAGTTTTGTGGTGAATTCAAAATTACAAATCAAAACAGTTTAATACATGACTAATGACTTTGGCGTTTTTTTATGCGAGTGCTATGCGAGTACGCGACTATTCCAAAACTCTTTTGACTTATATTGGCATTACAACACATCAAGCAACACATATAGGAAATTACAAATTTGGTTTTTCGAATAGTAAAACCTCATAAATTACACACTTAATCTTATATGTGAATAGTAAAAAAGAGCGTTGTTGTGTTAAGTTGTAGGATGTGTATGAGGAAATGGAACAAAAGGTAACAATAAAAAACAACATTGTTGAAAGATTTTTTTCCTCTTCTTCGGAGTTGTTGTTATTTAAACAACGCAATAAATGCCAAACAGTAAAATTTGCATTTTCTCTCTTTCGATATTTTCAAGAGACGCAAAGTATGTACGTTTTTGCATAATAACACGTTAAGCGAGTACACAAGATGCTATACTGTTGAAATTTAAATTTATTTTACAACAGCCAAACCTAAAATCATGGCTTTAATTTTCTGTCATTTTTCGCCAAAAAAAAAAACAAAAACCATTTGAAAACAATTGGTCGACTACGTCCATTTGACAATTGTCACAAGTCACACATTTTATTTATGCGACGCCAATTCCACCCAACGCTTTCACATTAATATATTACAATAATTTAACACACACAACTATTATTATTATTATCCCGACAAAAATTCTTATACACTTTTCACCATTTTCTACGGTTTATTTCTCTTACATTGCCTTTCTCTAACATTTTCTATGTGTACATTCGAATATTTCATGCATTTTTTTTAGTTTAGAAATGTCTGAGAAAGAAATGACTTATGTGGAGAAGCCGAAAAAAGCAAACAACAACAACAAAACCAATTGGATTTAATGTGGCTTAAGCCATATTTTTGGTGTCTCATTATACATTTCAGGTGAAATGTCACGTAATCGTTTATTATATGTGTTGTAAATTCTAGCATTTGCGTTTGACCAATAGTGAACAGCAACCAATGAAAATCTAGTCGATGCGTGTCACAAAAAAAATAAAGAGTCTTACGGGAGTAAGACGAACTTTTCCGCACTGTGGTAGTTGTGTATTTTATTAAGAAAGTTCAAAATAATATTTGTTCGATTTTTCAAGCCTTTCAAGCGGCGTAAAGTCCGAGACCAAAAAATATGTTCCAACTTTGGCAACGAAATATTCTTTGATTTAATAGCAGAAGTACTCGAGAAAAGATTTTTCACACTTTCATGATGAACCCATTTGTACGACATTTGAAAGTATTCTATTTCTAACAAAACACTATAAAAAATATGTCTGACGTTAATTTTGCCATGAAAATTATTTTTGAAACACTTTTCATAACTAAAGTCACAAAAAATTTGGATTTTTATA